AGGCAGCACCAGTCCCTCCTCTAAGAAACCTCTGACTATTCCAGCTCATCCATCTTCCCTTCTCCAAACTCCTGGGAATACCTACTGTTCAAACCACACTTCAGAACTGATCCTTTGTCTCTCCTGGGGGTAGCAGCCTGTTGTGGAATTACACTAAGCTCCCTCAGGGCAGTGACTGCGTGCACTTTTCTTACATGGCCCAGGATACCCAGGGTGAGTATCACCAGGACGCAATACTTCCAAGGTTCCCTATGTCCCTCCAACCAAGTCACATGGAAGACAGGCTGGTGGGTTGCCTCCATCAGCCCAAAGTGGGCTCAAGAAAACAGGGGAAGCAGAGGTTAAGTGGGTGACCCCTCCAAGGACTACCCTCACCAGGCTCTCCATCCACGGGGAAGGCCACGGAAAAGAGGAGGCCGAAAGACACGGGGGTGGGGCAGCCAGGCAACTGAAGCTCCATGCGGCCAGGGAGGGGCCGACTCTCCACCTGGGGGCGTGGAAAAGGCAGGGTCAGAGAGCAGCCTCTCTGCAAGGCTCATAACTGGTTTCCCACCTCCACTCATCCACAGCCCCAACCTCCCTGCCATCCATCAAAAAGCCACTCAGAGGACCTGGGAGCCACTTCCTTCCCCTCACCTAATCCTTGTGCAGTCACAGTTAAAGAACATATTCACTGGACTTCCCAGGGTTAAGGGTTAAGAACCCGCCTGCCAGTGCAGGGGACATGTGTTTGATCCCTGGTGTGGGAAGATTCCACACGTTGCAGGGCAACTAAGCCCATGCACCACAACTACGAAGCCCTCACTCTAGAATCTGTGCTCTGCAACAAAAGAAGCCTGTGCACCGCAACTAGAGAGTAGTCCCCACTCAACACAACTAGAGAAAGCCCCCACACAGCAATGAAGACCCAGCACAGCAAAAAATAAAGAAGAAAATATTCACTGAGTACTTAAACCACACACAGGTATTATGCCAACCTCCTAGGAGTTCTCACAACACCCCCGTGATGCAGGCATTTCCATCACCCCTGAATTTTACAGACTGAGGAAACTGAGGCTGACAGAGGCTAACAGCCTGTCAGGAGCCACATCGCTGGGAGGTGGCCAGATTCAGATGTGAATCCAGGCAGTCTGACTCCAGAGTCCAAGCTCTCCCCTGGGCTCAGAGCTCTCGCAAACCCGCCTCTCCTTCTCTGCCTCACCTCAATATCCGAGATGGCGGAGCGCAAGGCACACGACCAGTTGACCAGCTGCCGGCTCCGGTACAACAACCCAGCCTTGTAGAGCCGCACGAAAGCTTCTGTCACGGCCACTGAGGAGCCCTAGAATGACCTGAGTGTCCACATCTAACAGCCTCCTCTCAGCCCACCCCCCCACCAGGGACCCTGGCATCCCCCTGGCCACCCTAACATACACAGCAACCCGCCTCCCAACAAAGAACTCTGAACACCTCCCTGACACCTACAGGGACCACAGCATGGAACACTCACGGTATCCATGGTAAAGCACTCTCGGTCCCAGTCCAGGGAGGCCCCCAGAGCTCTGAGCTGCTCACAGATCTCGCCACCTTTCCTGTGCCCAAAGAGATTTGGGTCAGCAAACATGTCCCAGACATCAACTATGTCCCGGGCCCAGTGAAGCCCCAGCAGTGCTGGATGCTGGAGTGAGTTCAACTGATCTAGCCTCGAGAAGCTAAAGGAGACACACAGACCCAGTATGGGGCTTTCCATGATATTGAAAGAAACATAACATTTCTAGTAAAAGGGGAAGGGGCAGCCGATTTGTGGGAAACACAAAGAAGCATTACAGAGAAGACAGCATGTGATAACAGACCTGGAAGAAAAAAGGTAATTTCAAGAGGATGCAAAGTGGGAACAGGTGAGGAGAGATGATGAAATCTAAGCAAAGGAAAATGGGATAAATGGAAGAAAAAACATATATATATATATATATATATATATATATATGCTGCTGCTAAGTCACTTCAGTCGTGTCCGACTCTGTGAAACCCCATAGACGGCAGCCCACCAGGCTCCGCTGTCGCTGGGATTCTCCAGGCAAGAATACTGGAGTGGGCAGCCATTTCTCCATACATGCATATAAATATATGGGAGAGCACATGCATGCTTAGTTACTCAGTCATGTCCAACTCTTTGACACCCCGTGGACTGCAACCTACAGGGCTCCTCTGCCCAAGCAAATTTCCAGGCAAGAATACTAAAGTCGGTTGCCATTTCCTACTCCAGGGGATAGTCCCTAACCAGGGACTGAACCCGTGTCTCCTGTGGCTCCTGCATTGGCAGGCAGATTCTTTACCACTGAGCCACCTGGGGAGCCCGTGTGTGTGTGTGTGTGTGTGTGTGTGTGTGTGTGTGTGTGTGTGTTTGTATAGGGTGGCCCGTGTGTGTGTGTGTGTGTGTGTGTGTGTGTGTGTGTGTGTGTAGGGTGGCCCGTGTGTGTGTGTGTGTATATACACTTACACATAAATATATGCATTTTAACATATACAATACACAACACATGCACACACACCAAGCTTGGAGACCCCACCAAATGCTAAAGGACTTCAGAGCTTACACTCCCACAGGAAGTTAGAGCTGAATGGGAAAAGCCCTAGCTACATATTAGGGGAGAGGAGCTGGGAAGCCAGGATCCAAACCTGCTGTCTCAGCCCCTCCTGGCCTTGTCCTCCATACTCACTCCTCCTTCCACTTCCACACCTCCCTAAGGAAGTCTTCCCTGCTCAGCTCATGTCTCCTCACTCCTCGCTCCTTCCACAGCTGTTTCTCCACCACAGCCTACAGTAAGATGAGGGGGCAGAGAATCAGGTCACTTCGGGAGAAGAAATCTCTCACTCAAGAAAAGGGACGAGTGGCAAAAGACATACTTGGGTCGCAATCCCTGCATGATCTGAGCCAGGGACCCACAGCACCCGATCCCCACGCATCCGGTGCCTGCGAAAGAAAAACCCTCATGGGAATCCATGGCCTTACATGTTCATTTAGCCTCATCCCTTCCCAATTTCTCTTTCTCCTCCAAGAACTCAAGCAGCCCCATTCCCCTCTCACCAGCGCACGAGAGCATCCTGTATGGCCACGGTCAGCGCATGCCCAATGTGCAGGGAGCCTGTGACATTAGGGGGTGGGATACACATGGAAAAGGTCTCCCCTGTGGCCTGCGGCAGCCTGGCCTAGAAGGAAAGAAAAGTCAAAGGGCAAGAGAGGACTGGATGTTCCCTGGGGAATAACACCCTCTGGTGTCTCCAAAGCAGAAAGAACTATAGGAAAAAGTCCCGCAAGTAACAGGGAAGAGAAAAACCTTTGAGACACCAGGGGGAGAAGACAAGCTTTCCCTGCAGGCTCTGCAATGTGGTTGGCTGTGAGCTCCAGACTCGTGCCCACCAATCTTACGGGCCATCCTGTCCTGGGGACCGTTTAGCACTCCTCCCTGCCAGGTACTAACCTGATATTCTGGTTTGAAGAAGCCCTCTCGCACCCACCAAGGATACCAGGCAGCCTCAACATACTGGGGGCTGTATGCAGAAGGCAGGGGCCGGGAGACATCTACGGAGGCAGAGGAGAGCCCCACTAACTCTTGACTTCTGTTCCCAGATTGCATTTCAGCAGACCGAATGGGCAACCAAAATGTGAGAGAAAAGGCCTTCAAGTTTCCTAGTTACCTTTCTTTTCTCCATGTTCTGTGGGGATTTCATACAACACTCTCTCCTTAGGGGTCCAGGCCTTACTGGATTCTGCAGGTGACTGCAGAGAGGAGGAACCAGAAGGTGGGCTGAAATTTCAGGATACCCCAGGCATCTGAAATCCAGCCAGTCTCTCCTCCAGCTGTCTCCCAAGATGTCTCAGAGAACCAAGGACCAGCTGTCGGGGCTCCTAACCTTGGTCTTGGGGGCTATGCCAGCCTCCAGCGATGCCTGCTTCTCTCGCAGGCGCTTCTGTTTGGCTTCACGGTTCCTCCGGGAGGTGGCTGATCCATCGGGCTCTGACTGGGTGGAAAGGGGACGGGACCTGCGGAGGCCCCGTGAGGGCCTCAAGCCCCAAAGCGGTGGTCGAAAAGAGGTCAGAGGCAAATGAGGCATCGGGAGTGCTAGGCAAGGGGCCAAAGTCTGTTCCAGCTACAGCACGTTGGGAGGGTATGGTGGTGAGGGAGGGTCACACTTCCCAAAGTCACACCCTTTTCCCCCCGCCCCTCCCGACTCCCTCCAGCACTGGTCGATAAAGTATCTAGCCCAACCCTCACAACCCTCCCTCTGTGAGGGCTAGAGTAGACAGGGTATTGTAATTATCAGCTTTCTTCCGCGACAGGGTAAGTCTCAGGCCCTCAACCTATTCAGCTGCGACGTGGGGGGTGAAAGTGGACACAGAGGAGGGGAAAGGACTCAGGAATTCTGGCAGATGATGGACATCAGAGCCAGCAAGAAGTCCCACCTGGACCACTACTTGTCCGCCTGCTCAAAGGCCATCTGCACTGCCCCCAGCCCGCGCGCTGATCCGCCTTCCCGTCCGAACCACCGCGTGGGTCCTAACCCTCCAGCACTTCCCACTCCCCGATCGCCGGCCCGCTGGGAGCTCACCCGGTGAGCCCGCCGCTATCCCAGGGCGCCCCGCGCCTGGGAGCGTAAGGGGGCGGTGGCAGGTGCTGGGGAACCAGCGAACCGGGCCCGAACGTGACTCGTGAGCCGCGCGGCGCTGGGAGGCGGAGCCCCGCCCGGGCGCATGCGCACCAGCGGGCCTCGGCCACACCTCCTCCTTCTCGCGGGCCAATGGCTGTAGACGCGGAGATGAGCGCTCCCGGCGCGGAGAGAGGAGGCTTCCCATGGAGGTGGCGGGGGTCGTGTGGTTCACTTTCACAATTTTATTAAACTAGAAGAGTCCCGACGTGTGGATTAAAAAAAAAAAAAAAACACCCGAGTTCTGAGGCCGCGCCAGCCTCCACGCAGCCCGCCTTCCCAGGTGCGCCCCGCCCAGGTCCAGTCCCGCACTCTCAGGAGTTGTGCTTCTGCCGCTTCCAGAAGCGCTTGACGTCGCTGTGCCCGGCCGGGGTCACCACCATGAGCCGCTTGGCCGAGTTCTCGAACACCAGGACGCCCAGCTCCCGCGCGTGGGCCAGCAGCAACTCAAAGTCCACTTGTGACAGGAACTGGTTATACAGGACGCCTGGGGTCCGCAGGTCAGGAGCAACGGGGAGAAAGAGAGAAGGTGAGAATGGAAGGCGGGAGCCCCTTGATGGTAGCTTCAGGGAACCAGCGGTCTCGGCTTGCCACCCACATTTAAATCCTAACACTAGTATGACCCAGCCATATTCAGGGAGGCAGTATAATACAATAAGAAAACACATTGCTTACCAAAACCAAAGAAATCCCTATGAATTATCCCTCAAATCCTAAAAGATGATGCTGTGAAAGCGCTGCACTCAATATGCCAGCAAATCTGGAAAACTCAGCAGTGGCCACAGGACTGGAAGAGGTCAGTTTTCATTCCATTGCCAAAGAATGTTCAAACTACAACACAATAGCCCTCATCTCTCATGCTAGCAAAGTAATGCTCAAAGTCTTCCAAGCCAAGCTTCAACAATACCTGAACTGTGAACTTCCAGATGTTCAAGCTGGATTTAGAAAAGGCAGAGGAACCAGAGATCAAATTGCCAACATCTGTTGGATCATCGAAAAAGCAAGAGAGTTCCAGAAAAACATCTACTTCTGTTTTACTGACTATGCCAAAGCCTTTGACTGTGTGAATCACAACAAACTGTGGAAAATTCTGAAAGAGACGGGAATACCAGACCACCTGACCTGCCTCTTGAGATATCTGTATGCAGGTCAAGAAGCAACAGTTAGAACTGGACATGGAACAACAGACTGGTTCCAGATCAGGAAAGGAGTATGTCAAGGCTGTATATAGTCACCCTGCTTATTTAACATATCAGAGTACATCATGAGAAATGCTGGGCTGGATGAAGCACAACCTGGAATCAAGATTGCTGGGATAAATAATAACCTCAGATACACAGATGACACCACCCTTACGGCAGAAAGCGAAGAAGAACTAAAGAGCCTCTTAATGAAAGTCAAAGAAGAGAGTGAAAAAGTTGGTTGGAAACTCAACATTCAGAAAATTAAGATCATGGCATCTGCTCCCATCACTTCATGGCAAATAGATGGGGAAACAATGGAAACAGTGCCAGACTTTATTTTTGGGGGCTCTAAAATCACTGCAGATGGTGACTGCAGCCATGAAATTAAAAGATGCTTGCTCCTTGCAAGAAAAGCTATGACCAACCCAGACAGCATATTAAAAAGCAAAGACATTACTTTGCCAACAAAGGTCCATCTAGTCAAGGCTATGGTTTTTCCAGCAGTCATGTATGGATGTGAGAGTTGGACTATAAAGAAGGCTGAGCGCCGAAGAATTGATGCTTTTGAACTGTGGTGTTGGAGAAGACTCTTGGGAGTCCCTTGGACTGCAAGGAGAACAAACCAGTCAATCTTAAAGGAAATCAGTCCTGAATATTCATTGGAAGGACTGATGTTGAAGCTGAAACGCCAATACTTTGGCCACCTGATGGGAAGAACTGACTCATTGGAAAAGACCCTTAATCTGGGAAAAACTGAAGGCAGGAGGAGAAGGGGATGACAGAGGATGAGATGGGTGGATGGCATCACCAACTCGATGGACATGAGTTTAAGTAAGCTCCAGGAGTTGGTGATGGACAGGGTAGCCTGGTGTGCTTCAGTTCATGGGGTGACAAAAAGAGCTGGACACGACTGAACGACTAAACTGAACTGAATCCCTTCCAATTTCCCTCTTCCAATTTCCCAAATCACACTCATTTGAGAATTTATTTACTGCCATCAACTCATCCCGAAATAAAACATGCATGGGTTTACTAGCCCATGCAGAAAAAAAATAAAATGTATGAACAGCTTTTTCAGTGCACCAAGACTGAATTGTCCTTCTTCTGGCCAATGACCCAAAAAAACCCACCACAAGCCACTCACCTTCGGTGAACCGGAGCCTGTCCCTTTCCAGCTCCCAGAGCCGAATCTGGTCCGTGATGGTGGGAGGCAGCACCGGTGTCTGGAGGGGCAAGGGATGGCCCTTGTAAGATTCAGAAGCACTGCTCTAGGCAGCCCCAGCCCTCCACTCATTCCCCAGATTTGGATTCCATTTCTCTTTTCCATCATTTCATCACCAGGTACCAAGGGCTCTCAGCCTCCTGCAGCTGTTTGTCCCTCCAGCCTCCTGTTTGTACCTGTTTAAGCATCACTGGGTGGGCCCTTGTCCTTAGGAAATGGATGATCTAGGAAAACAGACAAGAATTGGGATCAATGACAGTAAATAAATTCTCAACTGAGTGCAATTCTCATTGCATAGAATTCTCAAATAAGAAAGCAGGAAAGCTACCTGTCTCCTAATGTCACTGAACATCAACTGATTGTTTAAAAATTCATAGGCATATGCCTATCAATTCAACACATCCCAGATCAGCTGTTGTCCTCAGGTGTTGCTCCCATTGGTGATATCTGCTGCTCCTTCTTTGGCATATTTGCCCTTTCCATAGTTTTTTTTTTCTTTAAAGTAACAGCAACTATTATTTTTGAGCACTAACTGCATGGCAGGCTCTGAACTAAATGCTTTACCTCTATTTCATTGACTTCTTTCAACAACCCTATAACATGAAGGTCGCTCAGTCATGTCCAACTCTTTGTGACCCCATGGACTGTGCAGTCCATGGAATTCTCTAAATCAGAATACTGGAGTGGGTAGCCTTTCCCTTCTCCAGGGGATCTTCCCAACCCAGGGATTGAATCCAGGTCTCCCACATTGCGGGCGGATTCTTTACCAGCTGAACCACAAGGGAAGCCCAGGAATACTGGAGTAGGTAGCCTATCCCTTTTCCAGTGGATCTCCCCGACCCAGGAATTGCACCATGGTCTCCTGCATTGTAGGCAAATTCTTTACCAACTGAGCTATCGGAGAAGCACTGATAGCTGAAGTGAGAACTATCAGAAGCCCTGAAGCGAGAACTGTCATTATTTACGTTTTCCAGATGAGGAAACTGAGGCTCAAAGAAGAGAAACAACTAGGCCATCTGTGCAGCTAGGAAGTTCTGAGACACAAATCCAGAGTTATAGCTCCTCCTTACTTGTGTCTTTTCTGCAGGAGGGTCTACCTCTCCCCACACTGAGAGCCTTGACTTCTCATGACCTGACACTCACACAGAGACAACTCACCACCACCTTCTGTAACAGAACCCATGCTAGATTTCCAGAAGGTGACCAACCCTGACCCCACAACCCAAGTTACAGCCTTTCTTTCCACCCACACCTTCCCCAAGCAGGAATACCTGCTGGGCTGTGATGCCACTGGCAATGGCCTGCTGCACACTCTCCCGGGTCACCTGTGCCACCACCATGTTGGGGAAGCGATAGAGCATCTCAGAGAAAAGGGCAATGAGGGCGATCTGCAGCTCCGACTCTGACCAGAAGATAGGAGGAAAGGATTAGGAGGCTTCCCACATCTAGGCTCCCCCGAGCCTCAGAGAGCTCTGTAAACCACCAAGTCACAAGTGTATGTGACCAGAAACTGGCAGTTCCTCCTGCTGCTTTCCCCTTCTTCCTCCCCTCCCCACCAGTCTGCTCTCCCAGGGGCCCTCTGTCCGGCCTCACCCGTGTAGGCATACAGTCGGTAATTGGTTTCCACAACAATGAAGCCTGGCTGATGTGCGGTGCCCCCAGCCCCAGAAACACCTGATGAGAGATTGATGGCCAGGCGTGTGGGGTAGTAACGCCGAGATTTCCTCTGAAAAGGAGAACGGAAAGGCCACAGGCCCTCTCTCAGGCATCACTGCCCTACATCTTCCTCCTGAAACATCAGGTTCCTCCCAGTGCCCAGGACCTCAGCTCCCAACTTCTCTCCTGAAGAGAAGTATTCAGTCCTGGCAACTGCTCCCTGTGACTGCCTCCCGAGACCCCACTCTCCTTTAAAGGCCAAGGCACCATCCCACCCCACCTCTTCGGTAGATGCCATGTGTCTGGGTGCTCATACCTTCCTCTGGAAAACAAGCCCAAACTCACGCAGATGTTGCAGGAAGTTCAACAGAGAATCACTCATACCTTCCACAGAGTAATCCTGGGGAAAAGGAATGGCCAGCTGGGGTCCAAAACACATCCCATTCTCCCTTTCCCAATCCCTTACACTCACTCCCTTTTCCCATCTCTGCTTGTTCTTTTTTATTCTTATCCTCCACTGTATTGCCCCATTACCTCATTTCCCCTTCTCATCTCTTTACTCTCTTCCCATCTCGCCCACTCAAGCCCTCTGCTTACCTTGCCTAGAGTGGAGAAGCTGAGCTGGAAGAGGAAGGAGAGAATCTCCACTAGGTCCATGCCCCGACTCTAGGGAGGAATGGGTAGAAACAAAGGGGGAGGGGTGAGAGGGAGGAAATGAGAGAAAATCAGGGAACAGAGTCTGTGGGCAGCCATCCCTCAGTGGGTCTGGGGACGAGTAGAGCGTGCTGGTGGGCACCCCTGACCTGCTCACCTGGGCTGTCTGCAGATACTGCAACATAAAGTACCATAGCTGGGCTGGGGTGTCCAGCAACAGGAACTGGAAGCCAGCAGAGGTAATGCAGGGCGGCTCTCCAGGTTCAGCACTGGAGACAGAGAGGGCTCATGGCAGAGGTATGCGGAGAAAGGCCACTGTCCCACCTGTGTGCCCACGTTTGTTTTTTTGGTTTATCTCTTGCCATACTCTGCTCTACTCTCCTTTTGAAAATATTTATTTGGCCATGCCAGGTCTTAGTTGTAGCATGTAGATCTTCCATCTTTGTTGAGGCAAGCAGTATCTTTAGTTGTGACATGCAAACTCTTGGTTGCAACATGTGGGATCTAGTTCCCTGACCAGGGATCGAACCCGGGCTCCCTGAATTGGGAGCATGGAGTCTTAGCCACTGGACCACCGGGGAAGTCCCTCAGCCCTCCTTTTTCAGTCAACCCCCTCCTATCCTGACCCAAGGTGGACTCAATTTAGCAGGGACTCAAGAACGTGGCAAAACAGAGCCATTGTACCTCCGGCTTCCTCACCTCTTCATGAGCCCAGCCTGGCTGAGGAGCTGAGCCAAGTCCTGGCTGACGGCTGCACTGGGGGATCCCACCATGAAGTGAAGGACCACCTAAAGAACGGAAGAGAACAGATTCAGACGCCTTAAAGGCTGTGGGAAGCAGGAACACAAGCAGAGACACCCACAGGTTCCCCAAGTCCTCACCTCCCATCGCTCCTCGGCGTACTTGTCAAGTGAGGGGACGTCCCGGGCATGCTTGTCTGGTCCCAGCTGACTTGTGTCATCAGACCAGGCCTTGCCCCTATGCCAGGATGGCCAACAGTAAGGAACCCTACCTGTGTCCCCCACCCATGCTTCTGCCCTTATTCCACCCTCATCCCCAGGGACCGTGAGTGGGAGACATTTCCTACACCAGGTAGCTCCATCTGGTCCAACTTACTCATAAAGGAGCTTCCAAAAGTAGAGCTCGCAAGGCTGCAGAGAGGCCCCTCAGGAGCTCCCCAGCCAGCAATTCAATCACCATGTCCCCTACCTAATTTAGGAAAAGATGGAAGTGACATACCCACCCAGAAGGGCAATGCGGAGGTTTTGGCGGAAGATGGGGTTGAGGATGAGGCCCTGGAGACCACCAGGGAGCAGCTGGGTGTGCCAGATACGGAGGCCGCTCAGCAACCCCGTGCTTTCCTCCTGAGCTCTGGAACAGAAGCAGAGAGGTAAGGGAGATGACTTAAGAACAGAAAGGAGACTCACAAAGGCATCAGTTTCTGCCTTTTCTAAACTGGTGGTCCTCGGAACACTGTTTCACAGAGATCAGTGTCTTAAGGCAAATGTCTTTACTGTAACACCTACCAGAGCCTTGTTACAGACATCACAACTCTCCGAGAGGCAAAATACAGTAATAAGAATTTCCCAAATGTGTTTAATTACAAGTTGTTGGTGTCCCCATTAATATTTCCTAAAAGTATTCCAAGAACAGCAGTTTGGGAAGCCTGGCTGTTGAGAAATTTGTTTCTGGCTAAAAATGCAGGAGAGACTCACTTGCTGAATTCCTTCTTCACCCACAGGGCTACAGCAGCTTGTGGCAAAGGCTGTTCCAGAAAGAGCATCCGCATCACCCAATTCTTAGCCAAAGATGGGAGCTCCCTGTAAGCAGGGAGAGGGACAATGTTAATATCAGAAACTGTCTTAGAACTGCATCCCTGCCCTCCATGGCCTCTCAAACATCTCACATTCACCCTCCACCCTTTTACCTCTCTTGCTGCCCCCACATCCTCCATCTGATTTGGCCTGATACCCTTTACTCTCCAAGCCCACCAGGGCTAAGCTTCTACCCACAATAACTTATTTCAGTCTGCAGGCCCCATTACATTTCCCCACCATGGGCCCTACCATGAAGGGGGTCCTCACCTGAAGACAGCCAGGCAGGTGGCAGGGTGCCCATACAATCGATCTAATACTCCAGGGCTCAGGCCTCCTAGGAATTCCTGCAAATTCCTGCATTGTAGGTGTACTCGATTCAGTCCACCCCTGGAAGGGGTGCTCTCCATCACCTGAGAGATGCAAGTGTTAGTGTACCCCCACAAGCCATGCCAGTGTTGCCCCTCACCTTTCTAATTCTGATTCTCGATCCACTGGCCCCCACGAAAACTCATCTATGGTTTCCTTTTTCATGTCATTCACCTCCTCTTGTTTCTCCCAATCCTGACCAACCTCCCCTCTTTTCCTGCCTTCTCACCTCACTTCTGGCCTAAACGCCAGTCTTCTCTCAATTTCTAGATGACAGAATTGTCAATTGTCCCATATTTGCAAAAACATTTGATATTTCAATGACTTGTCTCATCTCTACCTAAGCAATGACAAAGATACTTGTTTGAGCCCAACCCTCTTTCCCTTCTGCCTCTCTTGGTCTGATCAGCCTATAAGTTCCAAATTTGTTTGTTCTTCCCATCTACTTCTTGGCCCCACCTCCTGCTGAGCACGGCAGTAACTATTTTTCCCCTCCAAGTCTCCCAAATGCAATTCCACTTCCTTCCTCTTACCTCCCCGAAGACCACCTCACCTCATTCACCCTGATCTACACCGCACGATCTCCCAACTTGTCCCCTACTTTCCTCCCAGTCCTCCCTCTCACTCAGCTCTCTCCCTCGTATCTCCGCCACCTCTTCTCTCCTCGCACCCTTACCGTAACTCAGTGTCGATCCCCTCCTCGTGCACTCCGAGTCACAAGCTGTCGCTTAAACGGAGCCAGTGGCTCCCGGGAAGAGGAAAAAGGATGGCGGAAACTGACAGAGAAAAAATGGGAGAGAGACGAAGAATTTCACCGACTGGAGTCCAAAGTGGGGGATTCAGAAGAGAAGGGAAGGAGTGGAGAAGTGGGGAGGATAAGATTCGGCGCTGCACTCGCCCACGGCAGGGCATGCTGGGAACTGGAGTCTTGTCCTTCCTCATCCAGGAGCAAGCTGAGCTACGTCTGACTACAACTCCCAAAAGGCACCGCGAGGAAGCCTAGAGGAGAGAGACTGGCTTGTACTTAAGAGAGCCGGGAGCGCCAGAGGTCTGGCTGCTTCGTTCCGCCTCCCTTTACACCCACTCGGCTAACGGCGAGTCTAACTGACTGAACTGGAGTGGGGACTCTGGGAGTAGAAATGCCCCGAGGGCTTCCTGGCGGAGGTGCAGAAACTGCTTGGTGGTGAGGCGCTTACTTGTGGAGACGCAGGAAACTGCGTTCCTTGAGCTCAGTTGCTTCCCGTAAAATTGGAATAATGCACTTTGCAGAACATTTTCTCGAATTAGGAGTTAATTCAATGCATTGCGCCTTCCTCGGTACCTAAAGTGAAGTCGCTCAGTCGTGTCTGACTCTTTGCAACCCCATGGACTGGGGCCTGCCAGGCTCCACCATCCATGGGATTTTTCCAGTCAAGAATACTGGAGTGGGTTGCTGTTTCCTTCTCCAGGGGATCTTTCCGACCCAAGGATCGAACCTGGGTCTCCTGCACTGCAGGTAAACTCTTTACCGCCTGAGCCACCAGGGAAGCCCAAGTCTTCCACAAATGTTGTCATGGCCTCCATGATTCCACCCACCTACCCAGTTCAGTTCAGTCGCTCAGTCGTATCAACTCTTTGCAACCCCATGGACTGCAGCCAGGCTTCCCTGTCCATTACCAACTCCTGGAGCTTACTCAAACTCATGTCCATTGAGTCGGTAATGCCATCCAGCCATCTTATCCTCTGTCGTCCCCTTCTCTCTCCTTAAATTTTCCCAGCATCAGGGTCTTTTCCAATGAGTCAGTTCTTTGCATCAGGTGGCCAAAGTATTGGAGTTTCAGCGCTTCCCGTTTAATTAGAAGATCCTAAAAATAAATGAAGTTTTTAAAAAGAAAAATTGTTTGGCCTGATTTGATTTATGAAACTATTACGGGGTGAGGGAACTCCTTCAGTAAAAGCTAGAGCTACACGTTCCCCCAAATTCCTGTAAGGCAAGTTTTATTGGGAAGATCCCCTGGAGAAGGGAACGGCTATCAAGTCCAGTATTGTGGCCTGGAGAATTCCATGGACTGTATAGTTCATGAGGTTGCAAAGAGTCAGACACCATTGAGTGACTTTCACTTTCACTTCCAAGTTTTGTTATTCCCACTTTGCAGACTAGAAAATGGAAACTCATCGAGATTAAGAAATCTGTGATTGCAATCAGACAGCTAGAAAGTGCTGGAACTGGGATCTGAAGTACATTTGAGAGTGACAAGGAATCAAAATGGTAAGACTAAGCCTTTGTTACACTTTGTAGCCAGCCCATGCATGTTTTGTTGTTCCGTTTCCTTAGCAATGTTTAAAATCCTCAAAGAGTGACACAAAACTGGCAAAGCTTCTTTATAACAGATGTTAAGTAAGGTTAAAGGACAAATTATAATCTTTATTTTTGGGGGCTCCATGATCACTGCAGATGGTGACTGCAGCCATGAAATTAAAAGATGTTTGCTCCTTGGAAGGAAAGTTATGACCAACCTAGACACCATATTAAAAAGCAGAGACATAAAAAAAAAAAAAAAGCAGAGACATCACTTCGCCAACAAAGGTACGTCTAATCAAGGCTATGGTTTTTCCAGTAGTCATGTATGGATGTGAGAGTTGGACTATAAAGAAAGCTAAGCACTGAAGAATTGATGCTATTGAACTGTGGTGTTGGAGAAGACTCTTGAGAGCCCCTTGGACTGCAAGGAGATCTAACCAGTCCATCCTAAAGGAGATCAGTCCTGGGTGTTCATTGGATGGACTGATGTTGAGGATGAAACTCCAATACTTTGGGCACCTGATGCAAAGAACTGACTCATTTGAAAAGACTCTGATGCTGGGAAAGATTGAGGGCAGGAGGAGGAGGGGACGACAGAGGATGAGATGGTTGGATGGCATCACCGATTCAATGGACATGCATTTGGCTAAACTCTGGGAGTTGGTGATGGACAGGGAGGCCTGGCATGCTGCAGTTCATGGGGTTGCAGAGTCGGACAGACTGAGCGACTGAACTGAACTGAACTGATAATCTGGGAAGAAATGGTTGATTAAATAGCCAAAATACAAGGAGCACTTATCGCTCAAAAGCAGTAAGAAAAAGAAACAATAATAATAGAAATACTAAGAAATAACAGGCAGTAAACGGAATAAACACAAGTGCTTTGTAACCAAATGAAGAAACTCTCAAAAGTGATTCTTTGCAACCTCATGGACTATATGGTCCATGGAATTCTCCAGGCCAGAATACTGGAGTGGGTAGCCTTCCCTTCTCCGGGGATCTTCCCAACCCAGGGATCAAACCCAGGTCTCCCACATTGCAGGCAGATTCTTTGCCAGCTGAGCCACAAGTGAAGTCCAAGAAACTCTCACCTTCACTCTTAATTGAAAGTGAAAGTGAAGTCACTCAGTCTTAGCAACGCTATGGACTGTAGCCCCTCAGGGTCTTCCGTCCATGGGATTTTCCAGGCAAGAATACTGGAGTAATACTGGAGTAATACTGCCTTCTCTGGCATGTAGCTAGCAACTACCTATTAGATGTTGCATATTGTAGACCATGATCACAGAGTTCTCTTGGAGAGCCGATGTCTGGCTGAGCACAGGCTGAGTTCCTAGAACTGGCCTTCAGGAAGAAAATCAGCCTGGGCTCCTAGGAGCTGAGATTATGGAAAGAGCTCCCCGACTAGGGCTATCCACCCTGTGTATGAAAACATCTTATGATGGGTAATGGAGAGCTCATGTCTTCTCCCCCTCAGGCGTCCTAGAAAGAAGGAAAAGAGCCAGGACCTGACAGGCTGTTCGCCATCAGTTTTTCCATTTCTCAGCTGTGCTGCCCTGGGCATATTGCTAACCTAACAGAGGTTTTTTTTCTCTGCAAAATGGCAATAACTACTTCCTATGTTGAATCAACTAAGATGTAAAACTCCAGAAAAACATATACTTCTGCTTTATTGACTATGCTAATACCTTTGTGTGGATCACAACAAACTGTGGAAAATTCTTAAAGACATGGGAATACCAGACCACCTGAATTGCCTCCCTGAGAAACCTGTATGCAGTTTAAGAAGCAACAGTTAGAACTGGCCTTGGAACAATGGACTGGTTCCCAACAATGGACTGGGAAAGGAGTATGTCAAGGCTGTATATTGTCACCCTGCTTATTTAACTTTTTTGCAGAGTACATCATGAGAAATGCTGGGCTGGAGGAAGCACAAGCTGGAATCAAGATTGCTGGGAGAAATACCAATAACCTCAGATAGGCAGATGATACCACCCTTATGGCGGAAAGCAAAGAACTAAAGAGCCTCTTGATAAAGGTGAAAGAGGAGAGTGAAAAAGCTGGCTTAAAACTCAACACACAAAAAATGAAGATCATGGCATCTGGTCCCATTATTTCATGGGAAGTAGATGGGAAAACAATGGAAACAGTGACAGACTTTATTTTCTTGGGCTCCAAAATCACTGCAGATGGTGACTGTAGCCATGAAGTTAAAAGACGCTAGTTCCTTGGAAGAAAAGCTATGTCCAACCTAGACAGCATATTAAAAAGCAGAGACATTACTTTGCCAACAAAGGTCCATCTAGTCAAAACTATGGTTTTTCCAGTAGTCATGTATGGATGTGAGAGTTGGACCATAAGAAGGCTGAGTGTCCAAGAATTGATGCTTTTGAACTGTGGTGTTGGAGAAGACTCTTGAGAATCCCTTGGACTGCAAGGGTATTAATCCAGTCAATCCTAAAGGAACTCAGTCCTGAATATTCATTGGAAGGACTGATGCTGAAGCTGAAACTCTAATACTTTAGCCGCCTGATGGGAAGAGCCGACTTATTGAAAAAGACCCTGACTCTGGGAAAGACTGAAGGCAGGAGAAGGGGACGACAGAGGATGAGATGGTTGGGGTGTATCTCTACTCAATGGACATGAGTTTGAGCAAACTCTGGGAGATAGTGAAGGACAGAGAAGCCTGGGATGCTGCAATCCATGGGGTGGTAAAGAGCTGGACACGACTGAGCGACTGAAGAACAGCCTGGCACATAGAGGGGCTCAGTAAGTAGCATTGTCATTATTTTCTAAAAAATAAATAAAAACATGTAAATTCATACCTGTAGTAAGTGCTACAAAGAAGAGCCATGTGCTCTGAGAGCATCAAGAGGGAATTTGACCTGGTTGGGCAAGTTGGGGAAGGTTGCTGAAGGACAAACAGGAGTTAACAAGGCAAAAACAGTAGGGAACTATGTTCCAGGTGGAGGAACAGCAAGCTTTAAATGCCATGTGGCAGGAAGAACTGTGTTCATGGGAGGGATTGAAAGGCGGCCAGTAGTATATAAGGTAGGGGTAGGGGAGCAAACTTGTCCAAGAAGATTTTGTTCTATTTTAAGGTCCATGGAAAGCCATTAAAGGGTTTGGAATGAAGGAGATTTAGATTTGCATGCCTAAAGATCACACTGGCTATAGGACTATAAACAAACCAGAGAGGAACAGAAACAGATCCTGGGAGATTACTGCAGTGGTCCTGGCAAGATGGAGGTAGCATGTGCCCCAGTGGGGATGGAGACAGAAATGATGAATTTAAGGGGAACTGGGGAGCCAAGGCAACAGAGCTTCTTGGTAGACTGGACTTGGGAGGTGAGAGTAGGGGAAAAGAGGTGTAAGGATGATCCCCAGGTTTCTGTCTTGTGCAGCTGTCAGAGAACCACAGATGAGCAGCAGGTTTGAACCTGCTGAGACTTAAATTCAAATGAACCCAAGGTGATTGCATAGGTCTAGAGCTTGAGTTATATGGTCAGAGGTTTGGGAGTTCTTTGTCCTGTCAGTGCTTATCTTATATTGTGGGTCATAGTGATCTGACCTGTGTAGTTTCCAGCAGGTCTCAGATCTGTGACCTGGAACCCCAAGGGCCTATTAATACAACCTAAAATTAAATTATCTTTATTGTCACTCTCATTTATCCAGTTGGCTCTTTTGTGAATGTCATCAACTGAAACCCAGGGTCTTTATTTCACATGAACTGCCATCAAGATGGGTCTGCCTTTTCCAATATTTGCAGTGAATTTTTTTGTTTTCATTCCAACCAAATTTGAACTCTTTGTTAAACATTTTCCTGGTGGCTGTGGCTCATCCTTCCAGGCCTCTGAGATCATTTATGCTCTTGGTTTGGCTCTCAAACAATTCACACCTGTTGGGTTATTTGCACACTTGATCAATCTAATCCAGGGCTTCTCCACCTGTGGCTTCCAGACCCAGGGATCCAGGACGTGGGAGGGTTTCCTAGAATTTTGGCAAGAAAAAAATTACACCTCTATTTTTATTATCCTCTAACTGAAACTTAGCATTTCCTCCAAGTATGACTGAGCAAAAGCCCCAGTATATTAGCAGTACCTGTGACTTGTCACTGATAGATACCATGGCTATTTTCATATCCCACTATAGCTGTAAAAATCTCAGAATATCATTTATGCTCATTACTTTTTTGAAAATGTCAGTAATTATTACACCTGCTGCTAGGTCTTCTTCTTAAGTATTTTTTTAAAGCAGCACACATTACTATATCTTTTATTAACATTTTGGCCAACTTTCTATTGCTTTCCTGTTTTATATACATGTAGTCATAATTGTTTATGTGTATATATATTACATGCATGTGAGTACATATATATGTAACGTTTTTTAAACAGGTTTTAAAACATAATTCTGAGGAAGAATCAGTAGACCTCTCCAGACTGCCAAAGGGGTCCATGGGTCAGACAAAGTAGTCCATGGGTCAGGCCTCCCTCTAGGCCTCCTGCAGAGTTCCATATTCATGTGGGACCTTGCCTTAGTTCCCACAGGCAAGGGTCTGGCTTATGCAGAAACAGAACACTCTACTGGGCAAAACACATTAGGAAATGGAGTGGGAAGAAGAAGGAAAAAAGGGGGGAAAGGAAGAAAGGAAATGGGTTGTTGGGGAGCAGGAGGCAGATTTCGACGAAACCCCAAGAAGCCCACTCGCAGCTGTGGAAAACTCAACCTTTATTATTACCTGCCTAGTGCAGGGGATTAAAATAGCATTGAGCTAGATCCATATATTAGTGTAAAAATCTGTGTCTCTCCCCCCCAAAAATGTACAAACCCCAAGTGATTATAGAAAAACCAATGTGGCAGCTACGATAGAGATGTCCAACCCCAGGGCCACAGGCCGTTGCTCTCTGTTTCCCCCCTAATCCCAATACTTATTCCACAGAAACATACAGGCTTGGAGAAGTTCTAGCTACAACACGGCAGGTGGGAGGTGGGGAGGCGGAAGGGTGGGGGTAGGGATCACCCCCAAGTCCAGTGTCTCAGAGGATGGAGGAGGGAAAGGCCAAAGCTGAGGGCAATTCCAGGAGGAGATACAGGGGAACCCCCTTCTCCCTTTCTTGTCCTCCTCACTCCCCAAATTCTCAGCCAGTGGGGTCCAGTGTGTGACGGGGAGAGAGAGGCTGGGGGCAGCAGTCTTCTCTCCAGGTACCAGTGTTGTCCAGTGGGGCCCAGGTGCGCCAGTGGGCCAGGTCCAGTGTCTGCCCTATATCTTCTCCCAGCCTCCCCCAAGGGATGGCTCAAGGAGGTCAGAGAGGATCCCATCCACAGGGCCAGCTGGGTGGGCGGCAGGGGCTTCTAGGAGAGGAGCAGGAAGGAGGCATGAGAGCGTGTCCGGGGAAGGGAGGGCATCAGCTCCCTGGCAGGCCCAGCCCACCTTCGGCCACACTGCCTCTCAGAGGTGAAGGGAGGTCGGGAGGGGGAATGGAGTGGGGGTGCCGTAAGCTCCTCTTGTTTAGTGCCACTGGCCTCCCCTGAATCCTCCCTGAGGGGGGCGGCTGGGTGTCATGAGTCACACTGTGTTGACTGCATCTTCTGCCAGGAACCGATGCAGCTGGGAAAAGGGTGGTCGCTGCTCAGGCTCCCGGCTCCAGCACCGGAGCATCAGCTCATACAGGCTCAGCGGGCAGGCCGGGGGCCGGGACAGGTACACCTGCATTGTGGTGGCATGGATGAAAGGCAGGCAAATAGTCTTTAGTCCCTAAGAAGACAGGCTCTGGCCCTCCCGACCCCCCAGGGCCCATCTTCCCTCCCCTCTGCTCTCACCTGCCGGCCCTGGTCCCGGAAGAACTCCCCCGCGTTCTCGATGACTTGCTCATCAGTGAGTTGTCCAAAGGGCTGGGCCCTGCAGAGCATCAGCACCTCCCATAAGGTGACCCCAAAGGCCCACACGTCACTGGCAGTCGTGAACTTCCCCTGGTGCGTGGTTAAGGCAACAGAGGAAAGAAAGCCATCAGACAACAGAGACCCTCCTCCTCTCCCCACTGGGACCCCATGTCCACTCAGCATCACCATCCCCCACACTTACCTGACTCCCTCCCCTCCCCAACACTCCACCCTCCTTAGCTGGCCCTCTTTCCCATTAAGCCCATTCCTCTCCTCTGGCTCTGCCTTCCTTCTCCTGCTCTAGTCCTCACCTCACTTCTCCCTGTTTCTATCCATCTTTCTTTCCATTTTCTGTTCCTGATTCCCAATCTGTCTCTAGCTTCTTTATCTTCCTTTCTCTCTGCTACCCTGACTCCATCTCTCACACTCAATCTTGGCTCCTGGACTGTTTCCCATCACACCATAACTCTCTGCGTCCTCCAGTCCCTTGAGACCTTATAGAGCATTAGCCCAAACTTTCACTTTAGTGATGAGGAAGACTACAGTCCAGGGAAGACAGGTGACTGAATGAGATCCCAGAGCTCCAAGTGGCAGTCAGTGCTGCCCCAGCCTCCCTTCCCTGCCCACCTCTCCAGGGGCCTCTCACCATGAGGATGCACTCCCAGGCCATCCACCGGATGGGCAGCACTGCCCGGCCCTGCACGCGGTAATAGTCCCCAGCGTAGAGGTTCCGGCTCATGCCAAAGTCGGCAATTTTGATGGTGAAATTTTCCCCAACCAGGCAGTTCCTCGTGGCCAAGTCCCGATGCACAAAGTTGAGTGTGGCCAGATAGCGCATGCCCGAGGCGATCTGGGCCGCCACGTGCAGCAGCATCGGGTAGCTGGGTATGGGAGCCAACAACAGAGGGTCATGGGGCAGCCCTAGACTCGTGCCCACCTCACAGATCGCTGTGCCTGCCTCACAGATTGCTGGGAGATGAAGCAGAACCCGCTTCCCAGGCCTGGGTTCTCCCGCTTCCTGGTGCAGAGATGGAAGGTGGAGGCCCACTCAACCTTTCTTTACGCTCACCCGACCCCAAAGAGGTACCATGTTTGTTATGCTCCCCAGTCTGCACTCGGGGGCAGTGAAGGAGAGAGAGCATAGGGAAGTTCCTGACCTGCACCCCCCTCACTGTCGTCATCTCTGGCCTTCCTGCCCCTCGAGCTCTAGATGAACACGGCCACGTGTGTCTCATCCCAGGCCCCCTCCTGGAACCTCTACCTGCCTGCCCACCCCATGCTTCCCCTTCCCCTCTAAGCTGGGGCGAGGGGAGCTGATGAGACCCCCTGTGTGTGTACCTGATGGTGGGTCCCTGGGCCACCTCCCCATCCCCGTTCCCCTCCGTCGCCTTGTCCTCTAGCTGGTGGGCACTGAGGAACTGGTTGAGGTCGCCATTCTCCATGTAATCGGTTATCATGCAGAGCGGGTCGTCCTGCACACATACGCCCAGCAGCCGGATGATGTTTGGGTCCTTCAGCCTCGACATGATCTTCACCTCCTTGAGGAAGTCATTCCTGGAGAAGCAGGGAGAAGGTGGCAGGACACCGAGGGACTGCCCTGCAGTTTTTAAACTAGCACCCCTGCTCACGAGTCCCCAGCCACTCTCCCCACTGTTGGTCACCACCAGGTTTCTCTCACTTCTCTCTCTTCACCTTCCAGACACCATCCCTGGTCCTCACCTGGCGTTCTTGGTGGCATCTGGCCGTAGGATCTTGACCGCTACTAACAAAGGGTGTCCCTTGCGCACATTGAGAGGGAAATCAAGACTGACTAGATCTTGAGGGCTCTCTACCTCACACAGGTGCACCTGGAGGAAGAAGGTTCACCAAGGTGACAGGGTCAACTGGGACAATACAGTCACAGAGGACAGGCTCCTGGCCCAAGGGGAGGCCTGGGTATGCATGGAGCCCCAGAGAGGCAGACACTACAGATGGCTGGAAAGGAATCCTACTTACCTCCCCAAACTGACCCTCGCCAAGCTTCTCCTTGAAGCGGAGCCTCGACCGAGGGAAATCCACTCTGGGGGGCCCATCCCCAGCTGCCCCTGGGGGCAGCGCGGGCACAGCATAGGTGTTGCCCCCCGTGACACCCTGCAGGGTGACAATGTCAGCCTCGGCATAATGGGGGACGCTGTTCTGGGGAGGTGGGGGCAGAAGCGGGGCACCTGGCTTCTCAGGCTCCATATAGTCCCCGCTGCAGGCTGGAGGGGTGAGGGAAAGAAGACAGGAAGAGGCATCAAGAACAGCCCCTGAGAGCCAAGGTTCTCCACATCCCCCGCCGCCCAGAGGCCTCACCCCCTGCCTCCCTGGTGGGCGAGAGACGAGGTCTACCCTCTGCCTCCTGGTTTTCCACCCAGCAGCCTCAAAACAGAAGAGGTGCCAGCATGGGATAAGAGCTGCTACAGAGCTTTCAAGGCAATGGAAATGGATAAGCAAAGAAGGTCATAAACTCTTGTTCTCTAGGGATCCTAGCATAGTCCAAGACCATGAAAAAGTCTTGGCTGAAGTGGAATTCCTCTACCCACCACTAGAAGAAGTACGGTCCCAGCCATCTGGTGACTCTCCAATTTCCAAACCCTTGTCCCACTCACCGTTGGCCACTGCCATTCACATTGCTGGGATACCCCCTGCTTTCATCCTTTCATCCTCTCTGCCGTGGTTACCCCCCCTGACCCAGCACACCAAGCTCAGAGACAAGGAGAGACAGGGGCACATGGAGGGAGAGGAGAACAGTGCCTCACAGCCTGCACAACATGGGGTCTACAGACAGGAGAGGAAGCAGAGCTGTCCCCGCTTAGCCCTGAGGGAAGGGGTGACAAGAAGGCAACACAGGGGAGAGGAGGAACAGACAGGAAGGGCGGGGGCGTGAGCAGAGAGAGGACACATGGGGGAGAGGGCCTTCTTGCGGCTCTAGAGAGAGGGGAGAGTGAAGGAGGGGTTACAGAGAGCCTGGAGCCACCCAGCATCCACCTCTCTGGCTCTGGGAGCTCAAGAGATGGGCGCGACAGGAGGAGGGGAACCGAGCTGAGAACCAGGGAGCTTTCTACTCCTCAGCTCAAGGGGGCGGCCTTAAAAAGGAGCAAGCGGTAGCAGAAGAGCGCTATGGGCATAAAAGCTTCCTCCTTGGGAGCTCAGGAGAGCGGAAGAGGCCACAGTTGGGAGAGGAGGGAGAGCAAGGTCTGAGGACTTTTCCTGCCCCAGTAGAGGTACCGGGAGCCTGGCAGAGCCTAGGGGTGGAGGGGCTTACCCTGGGTGTTGGTGGGTTTGGCCCAGGCGGGTGTGGGGGGGCCCGGGCCTCGAGGGGGGCGGGCGTAAGTGGCCAGAAGGAGACGGTAGGCCGGATTGGAGAGCAGCAACGCTGTCGGGAAAAGGAGGGGGGGAAACACGGGGAAGGGGTGAGACTCAAGGCTAGACAGAGGGTGGGCGGGGGGAGACAAGGGGAAGGGATGAGACTCAAGACTAGACAGACAGGGAGACACAGAACAGGGCAAGACTAGGGCTGATGAGAATGAATATACTGAGAGACAGAGACGGTGTAAACAAGGATCTGGAGAGTGCTGCATAACTGGATGGATACGTGATGGATGGATGAATAGATGATGAATGGATGGGTAGATGGATGGATGAATAGATGATGAATGGATGGGTAGATGGATGGATGAATATATGTGGATAGCTGGAGAGTGAGTGCATGGATAGATGATGAAAGGACAAATAGATGATGAATGGTTAATGAATGGATGATAGATGGACAAATGGATGCATGACTATATATGGATGGATGGACAAACAAATGGAAAAATGATAGAATGGATATATAAATACAGATAGATAGATAGAATGAACATGGTGAGTCTAGGAGAGGAGAGGAGCCAGAAAGACACAGTGAGAGGACACAACAGAGAAGAGAGTGGGATATGTGTGGGACACAGTAACAGGATGAGAGCACTGGAACTGTGGGAAACTCCTGAGGGAAATTATATGGTAGGGACATGAGTAACATAGAGGGCTGGGACCAGGGACACAAAAATAAGAAAATGAGTTGAAACTGGGAAAGACAGTTTGGTAAAGGAAAAGAAAGGAATGGTAAAGGAGAGAGGAAAGGATACACTAGGAAGACAGGCAGAGGATGGAGGTGGGACTGGAGAAAGGCAGGTCTTACCGGAGCTGTTGGGGACACTGGGAGCAGAGTGGGGTGGATTCCCACGAGGCCGTGGCTCCTGATAAGGCGGTGGCTCTCGGGGGCCTGGGCGGTTGTTGATGAGGATGGTATCCCCAGGGACAGAGAGATGAACCGTCAGCTCCTCTTCTAATACCCTACGCTCGGCCTTGTCGTGGGGAACAGGAAATGTTAAGTGCAGCTACTGCTCAGCTGTTTAAATGCTCTACCCATGTTCCCTCCTTCAGTCCTCACTACAGCCCTGTAGTCGCGTCTACTGTTACTCCGTCTCACTGGTAAAGAAACAGGCTCCAGTGCATTTAAGTCCCACAATGGGATTCCAACCCAAATCCTACCAGTTCATAACTATCAACTTTAACGCGTTATCACCACCACTGGACTCTTGCCCAGAAGACGTGGGCAGTGGGGGGGGGGGGGGGGCGGTGCCCCACTTCTTCCAGTCGCCCCTCTAGCTCCACTTGCCACCTTTCCCCCTGGGCTTCTGCCCCAAGAGGTTGATGTGTGGGCCACATCAACGGGCTGGGTCTGGGTTGGCCAGAGAGGGCCCCCAGCAGGAGTCTGGAGAACAGGCAGGAAGTGAGGTCAGGGTGTTTAGCCTCCCAGCCTCGCCCCGAGGGATGGACCCAGGTGAGCCGCCTCCTGGAACCCACATCTGTTGGCGGTCTCAGGCATCCTCTCCTCACTCCTCCTAGATTCCTCCTGGGTTCCAGTCACTGCCTCTTCCTCTCACCCACAGGCCCAGAGATGGGGGCAGCGCTGCGGTGAGCAGGCCCGAGGAACTGCACTACTTCTCCTGATTTGCATACCCCCTGCCCACGTCTCTCGATGTGGGCTCCTTACTAACCCTCCCTCTAATTATTCTCATCCGACTGCACTCTCTGGTCCCTGCTGAACCCAAACTAACACCGGAGCCCCGCTCTCCGCCCCCACATCCCACCCGTTCCCCCATCGCCCACCTTGCTGAGGAGCCGGCGCCAGTGCAGCCGCCATAACATGAGGGCAATAATGAGCAGCAGCAGCAGGATGATGGCCACCAGGCAGCCGATGAGGATGGCGGTCGGGCTCCCCTCGGCCTTGGCCACAGGCTGCTGGCCCCTGGGCTCCAGCTCTGGCAGGGGGGAGCACAAGGGTCAGGACCACGGGAGATCCCCCCCCACCCATGCTGTGGGGGCCCCAGGGAGGACTGGTGGCACAGGACCCACACGCCTTTGAGGGGCCCGAGCTCACCCAAGCTGCTGAAGTTGGTGGGAGGGGGGCCGGGTGGCCACCAGGGGGCTGGTGGGAAGGTGCCCCCCAAAGCCAGGGAGGAGTCATTCACAACATCTGGGGAGAAGGGAGAAAAAAGAGGGAGTCAGATAAGGGGGCAACCAAAGGGAGGCACGCATGCACAAGAGCCCAGGAATCATCTGTTATTTGGTTAGAAGCAGGAGCAGGGCTTCCCTGGTGGCTCAGCAGTAAAGAATCGGCCTGCAATGCAGGAGACCAGGGTTTGATCCCTGGGGCAGGAAGATCCACTGGAGAAGGGAATGGCAACCTGATCCAGTATTCTTGCCTGGGAAATCCCATGGACAGAGGAGCCTGGTGGGCTACAGTCCATGAGGTCTCAAGAGTCAGACACGACTGAACAACTAAACAACAGGCAGCAGGGCCGATACTCAGTGTATGCAGCAACCCACTGGGATGGGTGGTAGAATAGGATCCTGGAGGGTTGTAGCTGTGGTAGGTGTTAACCTTTTAGTTGCTGGATTGTGGGGAGAAGTTGGACTCGGGGAGCCCAGGGTAGGGCTCAGGAGGCTCAGAGAAGAGGCTGCTTCTCAACCAGCACAGAATATTTCAATATTTTAACAACCACACTGTCATACTGCTCACCATCAGTCAAGAGTGAGGAGCTCATAAAGGAAAGACCGAGATAGGCAGGGAGAAATGGGGAAGAGGGGTTCAAATTAGTTAGGACCCCCTGCTGGGTTCAACCCCTGGGTTAGGAAGATCCCCTAGAGAAGGAAATGGCAGCCCACTCCAGTGTTCTTGCCTGGAGAATCCTATGGACAGAGGAGCCTGGTGGGCTACAGTCCAAGGGGTTGCAAGGAGTCAGACCCGACTGTGTGACTAAGCACAGTCCTTCTTGGAAAGGCTCGTCAGTGCCAAGAGTTGCTATTTGGGGTCACTATGGGTTAGCAATCCCAGGGGCCTGGAACTGGGCAGAGACCAGGGGCTTACCGGAGATGAAGGAGATTTCGCTGAAGAGTAGCCAGGGCCCCGCAAAGAGGAAGCGGCATTGCAGGAAGCGGCCCATGCGGCCGCCCAGGGGCACTGACACAGTCCGGGCTCTGGGGTCCCCCAGGCTGCCCCCCAGAGCATGGCGCACGGGCTCCCCTTCCCAGGCCATGGCCGGGCCCCTCTTGAAGCGACACTCCACCCCACCGGGCAGGCGGGCTCCCAGCGTGTGCATGTTGTTACAGTGGACCTGGGGGGAAGGGAGGAGGGACACAAGGTCAAGGCCAGGAGAGCCCAAACGAGCACCCCGGGCACCCAGCCTGGTCTCAGAGCCCTTCCTGGGAGCTGGGCGTACCCACCTGCATGGCCTGGAAGGCCCTCAGGCCAGGAGAGCCCGAGCAAGCACCCCGGGCACCCAGCCTGGTCTCAGATCCCTTCCTGGGAGCTGGCCACACCCACCTTCATGGCCTGGAAGGTCCTCAGGCCAGGAGAGCCCAAGCAGGCACCCCAGGGAACCCAGTCTGGTCTCAGAGCCCTTCCTGGGAGCTGGCCACACCCACCTTCATGGCCTGGAAGGCCCTCAGGCCAGGAGAGCCCAAGCAGGCACCCCAGGGAACCCAGCCTGATCTCAGAGCCTGCCCTGGGAGCTGGCCGCACCCACCTGCATGGCCTGGAAGGCCCTCAGCCGGTCAAACTCAAACTCCATCTCCACGTAGCCACTGGGGAAGCTGTGGTTGCTCCAGCCCACATAGTCATAGCCCGGCCAAACCCGTAGCTCCTGGCTCTTCCTAAAGTCATCCAGGCCCACCACACCATCTGCCAGTTGGCCCAACCCTCCGTACTGCAGCCTGGCAAGCAGGGAGCCGAGGAAGAAGAGGTTGGAAGAGAACAAAGTGTCACCTGTCTGGGTGCTCTACATCCCTTGCCTCCCAGTGGTCTGGCCAGCCTGGCCCAGCAACCCCCCCACCCCTGTCCCAACCTCACACAGCTCTCTCTTCTCCACCCCCAAGGAGGGGAATGGGGTGGAGCACCTTGCAGTCACATGCTACACAAAGGCACCGCCTCTAAGGGACACTGCTCAACCCACAATGTGTATTTACTGTGACAATTTACAATGGAGCTAAGTGTCTTCGCAGAGGCAGGCCTTTTGCTAATTCACACTAAGTATCACATGAGCTAGTGGGCACCCTGCTACCCCTCAATCCTGGTCCTGTCCCTGGAGGCCCCACCCAAGCCATCCCTCTCTGCAGTTCCGCTCTCTCCCTGCCCAGACAGCTAACCAACCCCCTCCCCCACCCACCCCATCCACCCTCCCACCCCAGGCTCCGTGTCCTGCGGGGCCCGCTTCTTTCACCCGCCAACAGTATGCGTGGTATATCCATCGTAGGTGGAGTCATTGAGGTGCACGGCCTCAGATAAGTACATCGTCTGCCCCACAGGGGCCGTGTAAGACAGGAGTCCATCTGGGGTGGGGGTAGGAGGGACGTTAGGGGCACAGAGCTTCCAGCCTCCCTTTCCCACCCCTGTGTTGGGCCTGGGTGGGTTTCAGGCCCCTCTCTCAAGTGCTGCCATAGGCCACTGGCATGGTGGAGGCAATGCCTGCCTGTCCCCTCCTCACCCATAGGGACAGCTTCCCAACAGAAGAGAGGATCCTGGACGCCCCTCTCCCCCCTCCCCAGGACAGGAATGAATCCTCGGGGGTCTGAACACTCACCCTTCCAGAGGCAGCCATAGAGCTCCACCCGCAGACACACGCTCATGACCCGGTCCGCCCGGGGATAGAAGCGAACCAGTCGGGCCACCATGGGGGGCCCAAGGTCCTTCAGCACCACTCCCCCAGGATCTTCATTACCTAAGATCACCTGTGGACCAGGACACAGGATGCATGGGAGAAGAAGGTTCCAGATCAGATCTAACTTCCCAGCCACCAGCAGCTTCCTGGCCCAGCCCACAGTGGCCACAGAGAGACCCACAAAGGGTGGCACCGAGCACCCGGGGCCGTGGAGTACAGCCGGGCCTTCAGCAAGACAAGGGGCTGCAGCAGAGCCCTCTGACACCCTCCCAGCCTGAAGGTCTGTCCTGACCTCCAGCGTCAGCTCTCCCATCCCTTCCTTGCCTAGCTCCGCTCATCCTGTTGTGCCCGGATTCTACCCAGTCCCTCGCACCCCTGCTCCGGCTTCCCTCTTCCTTCACCCCAATCCCTGCTGTTCACTCAGCAGCCACTGGCTCAGCACCCACTTTGCACCAGCCAGGCACAGCCTCCAGGGGGTGAGCATCCATCCCTCCCCTGTAGGACTGAGAGTCCAGGAGGAGAGACAGTTGTACAAGCAAGAGGCAGCAGGAGGTGGGGAGTCCAAAAAGGCTCTGAGGAGCTGATATCTTGGGGGAGAACTGAATGGAGGGAGGAGAGCCTGGGCACAGCCGGGGAGGGAGAGCTTTCCAGGCAGAGAGACCGGCAAGTGAAGGTGTCCTGAGACTGTGGGGTGAGCCCTAGGGTGTTTCAGGAACAGCAAGAAAACCAGCAGGGCCTCCATGAACAGGGAGAGGACTAAGGGGTGCGGTCAAGAGCCAGGCATGAGGCATCTTCTCATGGACCCTGGATATAGCCTCCAGGTGAAGATGACTTCAGGAGAGAAAGAAGCAAGGAGAGCCGTTTGGAGACTACTGCATTTGTCTAAGCAGGAGATGGTGGGGCCTGGCCTGGGGCAGTAGAGATGGAGGTGCTAAGAAGTGAGCAGATTTCAGGAAATATCATGGAGGCAGAACAGACTTGCCTTGCTGATGTTTTAAAGTAGGAGGTGGGAAGAAAAGCGGAATCGGGGATAGCATCTTAGCTTACAGTGGTACCATTTCCTGAGTTGGAGAATGCTGGGGGCGGAGCAGGTTTGGGGTGGGAATGGGGATCAAGTTCGGCCTGAGAAGTTTATGGTTAAGTGTGAGAAGCCTATTACACATCTAGGTGGGAAGTGGTCAGGTTTGCAACATTTGATGGAGCTCAGGGGAGATGCCCGGGCTAGAGAGGGCACATATTGCAGACTCATCAGTGTACAGCGCACAGCTGGGGCAGAGGGGACCCAGCCTTCTAGGGCTATCCCCGCCAGCCTCACCTCCTGGCCCCAGCGGTCCCTCCAGTCCATCCAGCGGTGGCCATCCCGGGAGTAACGCAGTCGGTAGCTGGGAGAGAACTCCTTGCCCAGGCCCCCTGCGTGCCGTCCCTGGGTGCCCACCAGCGCCACCAGGTGCAGCCGCCGCAGGTCCACCTGGAGGTACTCCTCTTCCTTGGGGAACACCGGCCCTGCAGGGCACCAGGCGCCATCTCCATCGCTGCTTTCAAGCCTGAGAGGGGGCAGGAGATCGCAAGGGATACCTGGCCCTAGGTCTGCCTCTGTCTCCAGTATTTAATCCCCACCCCGACACTTGAAACTGGGGTGGAGGGTGGTTGCCATTGGCATTGGCCCTCTCAGAAGCCTCTTAACTTGGTCAGAGGGCTGGAAGCGCAAGCAGCAGCCCCAGGGGTTTCCCTCCGGGACAGCCCAAGGTGTGCCAGCTACCTGCTATGGCGAGCAGCAGTGGAGTCTGACCAGGAGCTGGAGGCAGAGATGTCACCATCTGGGATGGTCCGGTCCTGCATGCCCAGGGCATAGCGGCACTTGGCTGGGTGAACACAGGCATATGGAGGGTCAAGGCCACTGACTCAGTCTCCTAAGCCCCATCCATCAGGGACCCAACAGCCAGTCTCCTCACCAGGGTCAAAATGTCCCTTCATGTCAGCATCTCCAGTTGCCACCAAGAGCAGCAGCAGTAGAAATGAAAGGGCCCCTGGTCCCATTGCTCCAGATCCCTTGGGCCTATGGGGGTGGGGGCAGCATCTCTGCAAGGGACATAATGGGGAGGGAGGGAGGTTAGTGTAAGGGCAATCAGGGAGACTGGCTCACAGCCAGCAACATGAGAGACACAGAATGGACTGCTCTGGGGATAACAGCAGTAAAATGACCACAACAGTCGCTGTTTAACAGCATCAGCGGTATTTTTAGAATGCTCCCCATGTGCCAGACACAGAGCTAAACCCTGGTTTCCCTCCCCACTTAGGAGACCAGAATTCTCAAACAAGTGGGGGACCCCAGCACCTTCCAATCTCAGTGCCCTCCACAGCCCTGCTGGTCCCTGACCCAGCAGCTTCAGCAACACCTGGGCGCTTGGGCGAAACGCAGAATCTCAGACCCACACAATCAGAATCTGCATTTTAACACAATCCCCAGGTGACCTGTGCCTGTTACAGCTGAAGAACCCTGGCTCTTCCTCACTGGGCCCCAGGCAGCTTGCCCCACCCCACCCCTGAAAACCATTTCAACTACAACTCCTTATGAACCCAGGTACCTACCCTCCCCAGCCTCAGTCCCAGGCCCAGAGCCAGACCAAACTATCTTGACCTGTCTTCTTCCCAGCAGAGGTCAGCACTCAGTTCTCCAGGCCATGGGATTCTTTGGGACCCCTAGCGCCACCCCCGCCCCCCGACCTTTACCCTCTCTGCCATCAGGTCCCAAGCCTCCTATCCCCTCTGCCTGCTCTGCTTTCCCTTCCTAAGATCTTGACATCCTATTCCCCCAGTTCCCAGTTTCTGAAGAGGGCTGCCTCAGTAGAAGAGCCCAGGGCAGAGGGAAAGGCTGAGTTGCCTTGGAGATGAGGGCGGTTCTAAAGACAGGGAAGCCAGGTCACCCCAGGAGGTAGGAGGAGTGGGGGGACACTCCCCCATCCCTTTGTCCTCCTCCAGCTGCTCCCACAATGCTCTAGGGCAGGAATGTAAGAGGCAGCTGAGACCCCCACAGCTCCGCTGCAGCAGCAGCTGAGGGGCTACTGAGTTGTGGGGGGACCCGGCTATCAAAGGAGAGCAGGAACCAGAAGCATCACACCTGGTCCCTTGGGGGTCGGGGAGCCGACACCCGGAGCAGACTGCCGGAGCCCCAGGCAGGCAGCCTGGCGTTCCTGGGTGCTGCTCTCCCCCCCCCCCACCTCCCCAGGGAACAGCGGGGCCCTTGTTCCCCTGAGTAACCTTCATGCCTACCCCAGATGAGTCATCGGAGCCAGACGGAGCAAGCAAGAGGAGCCTGGGGCAGAGATACAAAGACAGGCAGAGGAAAGAAGGCAGGGGGAGACAGGGCGAGAAACATAAAGCAAGAGGTAAACAGAGCAGGCTTCGAAGCGCGCAGGGCACAGAGCCAAGCAGAGAAATGCACAGAGAGACGTCTGGGGCAATCTGTTCTCTGACACCCTGTCACCCCACTTCTCTCCACTGGGTCAGAAGCACCAAGGACAGGCCCAGAAGACCTTTCCCATCCCCATCACAACCAATTACACTCTGCTGCAAGCCCATCACCCTCTTCTCCCAACCCCCAACCCCCACTCCAGACAACACCCACAGAGCTCTGTACACACACACACACACACACACACACACACACACACACACACAATACACACGTGGTCACTCAAACTTACAGAGCTAGATGTAAACACTGGGGTTAGATGTAGGGTGCACGCACACACATACACAAAACTGTCTCACAGACTTTCAGAGACAGTCTCATAAATCCATTACACACAGACACCCCCCAACCCCAGGGCAAACAGAGACACTTGTGCACACATCAGCTCCATCCACACCTCTGCATTCTTTCAAGCCCACTTAGTGAATAGCCATCCTCCGACACCTGTGAACCTGACATGATAGACACGTTCCTATGATCAGAGGACAGTGTGACGGACACACACTCAGGTCTTCGGGCACAGGATCCCAAGAGAACTGGACCCCACCCCCTAATACTCAAGGTGACCAGGTCAGAAGGAAGTCAAGAGTGGGGAACAGAAGAAAACTTGGGTGGCTGGAGTGACAATAAGAAAAAAGCCATTTCTTTGCTTTCCCATAGGCTCAGCTTTCACCTGTCTCCACTGTACCACTCAATTCTGGGCATACCTATGTGCCATCAGCAACAATGAGTCTGGCAGGGGGTGGAGGTGCTGGAAAGGACTGTCCACCCAGCAGGGGACCTGTAGGGTGAAGGCTGTCGAGGAGGGAGTAGGGGAGGGACACTGAGGATGGTGCTCACTGGGCAATGACAGTGTCTCCTGGCAGAACCAACTGACCATCCAGCGTGAATGAGCGCCTGTCGCTCAGGTTAGGGTGTCAGGCCCTCTCTCTGCTGGGCTGAGGCCAGGCTGCCCAACTGGGAGCTGGCTGGGTGAACAGGCTTAACAGTGAGTAGATGCCCGCAGAGACTGGGCCAGTGGGAGGACAGGCCCCTTCTCCAGGAAGCTGGGAGATGACTGGGGGGGAGGGACACACATATGAACACCTGTTTTACTGGGGTGCAGTTCCTTCCAGACTGAGTTAGGGGGTCCTCCCTCAAGGCTGGAACACACTTTCTCGGAGGTCGGGGGCCCCCCGCCCTGATTTTCAGGGAGTAAGCCAGAGGGCTGGGGAGGCGGGCAGGGACTGACTTAGCAACGCTGGACAACCAAGTCCAGCCCGGGAACGTCCTGCCTCCCGGCCAGGCCCTCATCCTTGGGCCACCGCGCGCCCCCGGAGCCCCGGGCCGCCGCCCTCGCCCCTCCACCCCGCCGGAGTCCTCCCGCCGCTCTCCCTACCTCTCATCGCTCTTCGCCGCAGACCCGGGCGTCCGACCCCGAAGCGGGGCCTCCTCGGCGGCGGCGGCGGCGGCGGGGCGCGGGGAGGGGGAGGCAGAGGGAGCCAAGAGCCGGGAGCGCGAGGCGCCGGCGGGGCTCGGGTGTCGGGAGGCGGCTCCCGCGAGCAGCTGTTGGGGGCCTGTTCCGGGGAGAGGAGCCAGGGCTGGGGCGGCTCGAGCCCAGGCGCCGCCTCCCCCTCCCCGCTCCCCCGCTCCGCCGGCTCTCCGCGCGCCCGGGCCGCGGCCCTCCCTTCCCCCGCCCGGGCCGGACCGTCCCCGCCCGCCGCTCCCACGCCCGGCGCCGCCCTCCGGGCCCCGCGCTCCCCTCCGCCCCGCCACGCCCACCCGCATTCCCCCGCGCGCCACGGCCTCCCCCAGGTAACCGGCTTGGCGCGCCCACCCTCCTCCACCCGCCCACCGCCCACCCCCCGGAGCCCCACAAAGGAGGATCGCCGCAGCGAGGGCCAGCTGTGGACCGATTCGGGGCCTCCCACACTCCCTGCCCCCACGACGGGATGCCCCCCTTCCCACCCCACCCCCCTTTTCTGGGCTCAGTTCCTAGGGAGGGAGGTGAAGGGGAGCAGCCCCAGGGCACAGGGAAGGAGCGCGTTCCCACAGGCCCGGCGCTGAGCCGGAGTTTGAATGGGGGAAGGGAGTGGGGCTCACCTGTCTAACCTGGCCTCTTAGACCTACTCTTTTCACATCACCAGCCTCGGCTTCTCTCTGACCGCTCTGAGTCTCCGGTCCTCTACACCCCAGCCCAGCTTGGGAGCCAGCGCCCACTGTCTCAGCCCCTTCCTCGATTTCCACCCTCCAGTTCCTCCCCATAAGCCCGCAAGGCTCTTCCCAGTCTCTCTCTCAAGGACCCTAGCGTCCAGACTCGGAGGCCCTGGTTCCCCTAGCTACCTGCTCAAAGCCTCGGCGTCCTCCTCAGGGCAGGGCCCCCTCAGGCCCAGGCAGCTCTGACCCTGGTGGGGTCTGAGGGTCTGATCGCTGGCAAGGACAGGCCTGGACAGGTGAGCGGCGGGGGTGAGGAGGAGGACAGAGAGGCAAAGAGAAAATCACACAGTCAAAAAGGAGCGGTACAGACAAGTTGGGTGCCAAGAGACTGCGTAAACAGATCCAGGGTGAGAGAAAGAGCGGAGACTGCTGGGTGAGGTGGGCAGGACAGAAGAGCTGTGCGGGGAGGTGTTCCACCCCGCTCAGGGGCTACCGGGGGGCCCCACCACCTCTCTCCACACCCCACACCTGCCAATCACCTGCAGGGTAGGGTAGGGCCTCACGCCGCTGCAGATCTCAGTCCCATTGCACCTCACAGCAGGTAGATAGAAACTCACCCTACGTGCAGACCCAGACAACAGTCCCAAGAAAGAAACACGACGTCCCGAATAAGAACACAAGGGCACTACCAGGAAGAGACGGGCCCTCGGGAGAGGCGAAGGCACATATGGGCACGTACTGCAACCCCGGGTCAACCCACAAACCTTCGGGAACCGCAACTGCTAAGGGACTCACTAACAGACAGCCCCGTGGCCACCCGGAGAATTGCCTCTCCGTCCCCTCCCACCAAAGCCCCTAGGCGCCCCGGCGCACCTTCCCCCTCCGGAGTCGGCCGCAGGGGAATCTGGGCCTGGAGAGGCCGGGCCGGGGGTGGGGCCCGCCGGGGGTGGGGCCAAGGTTTCCCGAGTAACCTCACCTGGGTGGACTCTCGGCCCCTCCTTCCCGGGGCCGTGGCTCCCGGGAAGCCCCGGGCGGGCAGCCGGGCTGAGCTGCCGCCAGATCCCTCAGGGAAGGAGCCACAGCCCCTCACACCCCAGTGGGACATTCCACACCCCAGGCGCACGCTGACCCTGGCCAGGTGGCATGACGGTGCCAGCCCGAGGAGTCCACTGCAGAGAGTCAAAGAAACCATAGACTCCTGAAACCCTTGCTCCCTCTTGTCCCCCAGGAGACATTCCTAGTCGGTGATGCCCACCTCATCCCAGCCCAGAGCTAGAGGAGTGGGAGGGATGCGGGACTGGGGCCCAGTGGAGTCAAGTGACAGCAGAGAGGGGGCTGGAGCCGGCTGGAATGCGAGGCTCTGAGCTGAGACTGTCAGGGGCCAGAGAGGGAAGTCCCAGGCATCCAGGCCCCCAGAGTAGTACCCAAGACCCAGTGTATCCACAGACCTAGTGTATCCACACACCCGTCGGTGGTCCCCAGAGCCCGCCCACATCTCCCGAATCACTCCCAACTCCAGTAGGCCCCCATGTCCTCCTGAGCCCCCAGAGGACCCTCTACCCCTCCTCCCTCCATGTCCTCCCATTCCCAGCTTCCCTCCCCTCCAAGCCAATGGCCTCCTGCTGCCCAGGAAAAAGGAGGAACAGCTGGGGAAAATGTGAGGAGAGGCACGTAGGAGAGAGCAGCTCCGGTCTGGCCCGCAGACCGCCGGGCCACTACAGGAAAGCCCAGCAGGACCAGTGAGAGAGAGGATGGGCCCTCCACACAAGTCGCTGTCCCCTTCCTGGGAGAGGCAGCTGCCTCTGGGACAAGCAGGCTGGGTCAGCAGCTGGGGAGAGTGAGAATCCTCTGGGGGGTGGGGGGCAGGGTGAGGGGGTGGAGAAGGCCCCGGGTGTGAGACAGGCCTTGATGCCAGCAAGTCCACTTGGGAAACTGAGGTCCGAGAGGAGGAGGAAGAGATGATGTAGCACAGGAACAAAGATGAGACAGCTCAGCTGTGGGCAGCCTGGGGGATGGAGAGAGATGAGGCCGCGCGAGAGAACTCAGCAGGGGATAAACTAGACTGCGGTAGAGGGGAACTGGGGATCAGAGAGAGGAAAGGGAGAATGAAGACAGAGGGCGCACAGCAGAAGATGGGAAGACCGGAGTTTGGGGAGAAGAGCTGGGCAAGCGAGAGAACTGGAGTGGAGGCAGGAAAGGGTGGGAGGGATGCTCAGAGAGGAGGACAGAGAAGAGAGGGGCCTCAAAAGGGGAGCAGATACATCAAGGGGAAAAGAGGCAGTTGGAACCCAGAGATGGGAGAAGAGGAAGGTGGAAGCGTAGGGATTGAAAGGAAGGGACCTGGGAGAAGATAAGAGTAGGGGCTGAAATGGGAAGGGAAAACTAAGGGACAGGCTAGGGGCACAGGGGCCCCAATTCCAAAGGTTGAAGCGAATCTGCCTCTGGGTGTCAGGGCAGGAGGGTCCCAGAACTCCCCTTAGAAACAGCCTAGCCCTAGCCCATCTGCCACACCTCTGCCCCAACTCTCTTCCCCATCTTTTCCCTCCTCCCCACCCCGTGGGCTCCACCGTACTCCCCTCCTCCCACCACACCTCCAGCCTGGACCTCCTGGTCCCTCCCTGAGAGGGGAGGGCCCAGCGCCAGTCCCCACTCCTGCCCTCCCAGTTGGGCTCTGGCTTCCTCCCTCTCACCTCCAGCTCAGGGTTCTCCTGGGTCGCAGTCCCCCCCTGTCTCAGGGCTTTGGGGTTCCGGCTCTGGGGCTGCCAAGGCCGCCTGGCTTTGTCCGCCCATCCGGAGCCCCAGGAGCAGCTGCCCGGGCCAGCTGCGGCTGGCTTCGATGTGACCATGGCAACCCAGCCCGCTCCCCTCGCCGAGCCTCCCGGCCCCCGCAGAGAGGGAGGGAGCAGCCAGGCCGGGGAGAAAGGGAGGGGAGGCCGAGGACTGTGGACCGCAGGGACCACAGACAAAGACCCCAGACAAAGGGAGGCGAAGGGAGGCTGCGAGGCAGCGAGGGAGAAAGCAGTGGCGGCAGCCTGAGGCTGAGAGCTTAGGCAACAGGCATTAGGTCCTGCTGAGGGGGAGAATCCAGGCAAGAGGGACAGACAGACAGGAGGTGGAAGAAGAGATTAACAGTGGTCCCTCCAAGGCCGCCTCCTGGGTCCCTAGCAATTCATTTCCTTCCCTCAGGAATTCTCTCTTCCCTTCTGGGGAGAACAGAATACCAGCATCCTAGTTGGCTACCCCCAAAGTATTATACGGTGAGTGCCCCTCACCAGTTACACCAAAGCATAAGAAGCACTCAGGCCCTATAGTCACACTCAGTTTTCAAGAACAATCTGACTTTCAGACCGGTCATCTCTGAAGTACAAACATCAACATCAGACAACATGTACTCCGATTCTTGACTTGTAAAATATGCTCCCCAAAGCCAAAGGGGCCTGATTATGCCTGGAGGGAGTTGAGCCAGGAGGGAGCAGTGACGAGGTCTCACGTGAGATGAAGCAAAGTACCAAAAGGCAAGGAGAGAGAGCCAGGCTTTGCTGCCAAGAAGCAAGGATCGAAACTGCCATCCACCATCTAGCTCCTCTGGCTGAGTCCTGCAGCCTCCCCGTCTCCTCATCAGAAGGAGGGCAGTCAGTACATGCTCCCAGGGTCTGCTGGGATGATAATGCGGGATGGCATACAGGCCCCAATGATGGAGACAACTATCGAAACCCCACTAACAGGATCTCCATCTGTGGCTTTTCTCATGGGTCACTTGGGTCCCTGAGTTCCACCTCCCAATTCATCCCATAGTTATGAAAGGTTTGTGTGGGGCAGGGTTCTAACAGAGCTGCAAAGGATACATTGAGGAATACAACCCGCTCCGCATCCTCTGGGCATTTACAGTCTAGAGGGGGAGCCAGGCAAGTATATGCATGTGTAAAATATGTATTTATATATGTATAAGTATGTGTGCTTATATATGTACAGAATCACAGAAGACACCCTGACCCGTGCTATAGTCAGAGCTGGAAGGGGCTGTGGGAACCCAGGAGAGGGCCAGGCCAGGTCCTCCTGAGTTCTGGGAGGCAAGATCAAGGACAACGTCATGGATGAGCTGGAGCTTGAAGTGGTTTTTAAATCAGACAAAGATCTGCAGAACCCAGTCCAAGCCATCCCCAGCCAAAGAGACTGAGGGAACAATAGCAGAGAGACCTCAAAGTGGGTTATGTGAAAATGCAGCTGTGACTGGAAGACAGAATCTGCCCGTGTAAATCCAGAGAGGCAGAGTGAGGTGGGTAATCTCAGTAGCAGTTTGGTTTACTCTGAAGGTGAGGAGGCAGGGCATTGGGCTTTTGAGCTGGAACACGGCATGGCATGATTAGATGTGAGGTATGTGGTTTCTGGCAGCAACATGTCGGATACACAGGGCAGAATAACAGGCTGCGGAGGAGGAGGAAGGAGTTAACACCTTTCTCCTGTCCACCTCCATTTGGGATCCGCGCCCCCACCAGGCCCCCAGCCAGAATGCCATGCGCAAACGGTGAGATCCTACAGAAAAACGCATGCTAGCCCCCAGCCAGGAATGCCATGCGCAAATGGTGAGATCCTACATTAAAGCACATGCTAGGCACTCTCCCAGCGTCTTCACCGATCACTTGGTTTTCTCCTTGGGGTCTCAGAGGTGCATGGGGCAGAGTGCTTCATAAAAAGGCAACCAGGCCCGGAGAGGTTGTCACTTGCCTTAGATCTGTGGCGAGTGGCTGCTTCTCACCCAGGATTTCTAGATTCCTCCGCCTCTCTCTTCCAAGAGTCGGTGGGGCGGGGGCCAGGAGGGAGGTGCAGAATGGCTCCCGGAGTGGCCCAGCTAGGCAAAGGCCGGAGCCGCTGGAGTTCTGCCCGGCCTTGGAAACCCCACCTTCCTTCAGTCTTCTGTGGACCCCACGGTCCCGGCAATGAACAGGAAGACCACGGGAGGGCGCTCGCCGCACAGGTGACCAACACTAGAATACTTGGGAAGGCCTGGAGGGAAGGAGTTTCAAGCCCGGGCGCCGAACCGGGTGGGGCAGAGCTCTGGAGAGACAGCCAAGCAGGAGAAAAGACAAAGGCTGAGCGGAAGCTCAGGGTAGCTGCGGGGCTCATTAGGGCGAAATATCTTGACAGTCACATAGCAGAAATATTGTTATAGACAGAATCTTAGAATCTTCACTTACTCTTTGCTATCATCCTTTGCCAAAGCCTGTGGCGTTCTCAGCAACCCCTGGCCTCTTCCTGATTAGAGCTGATTCCTGAGCCTTGCCAGGTAGGTGCCAGGCTCTGCCCTCGGCACCTGCCAGAATCATCTCTCTTGGCCCTCACCGCAGCTCTGTGATGTGGCATTTTGAGATACTTCCACTTTTACAGGGGCTGAAACAGGATCAGAGAAGTCAGGAACTTGCCCACCGATACATACATTGCAACTGGAAGATCTGGAGTTCAAACCCAAGTCCTTTTGATTGCAAAGTCAAAGTTGGATTGGTGTGTCTCAGCTATCATTATTGGTTCAACTCTAGGCATCTGTCATAAACCCTCACCCCTTCCTTTATCACCCTTGAAGACCCTGGGACATTGTCCTTAACTCCTCTATAACTTTCTTCATCTGCCAAGAATGTTTCTATTCTTGGGGCCCAAATTATTCTCCTTTGTGCACAAACAGCATGCAGAGATTGAACAATGGCTAGATTTGCTCAAGGTCATACTGGAAGTCAAGGTCAGCCGTAGGATAGTGTTTCTCAAACTGAGGTCCCATGAATTGTCTGTGAAGATTATTAAATCCCATGTTTTCGTCTCATTGGTAATTTTTGGGAAAGTGTTTTAAGCATGTTCTGGATACTATGTAACTGATCTAGGGCCCTGCGTGCTAGTACCTGCATTCCTGTTGTGTGTTTACCTGCTGATGGTCAAGTTAGCACTTCTTTAATTGTCTGGGTTGCGTTTGTACCAAATGAAGTCCAGGGGGCATGTACTGACAAAAATGTCTTAGTTATTTGAATAGACACAAGTCGGGGGAGAACTGAGTCATGCTGGGCACACAGTGGAATATCATGTCAGCTGCAAAAGAACCAGTTAGGCAGTACCTGTACGTGTTCGCAACTTCATTTCAGAAAAACACTGTTCATCACATCAAATTGCTATGCTGTGCTTTGTCACTCAGTTGCGTCTGACTCTTTGTGACCCCATAGACTGTAGTCCACCAGGCTCCTCTGTCCATGGAGTTCTCCAGGCAAGATACTGGAGTGGGTAGCTGTTCCCATCTCCAGGGGATCTTCCCAATCCAGGGATTGAACCCAGGTCTCCCACACTGCAGGCGGATTCTTTACCATCTGAGTCAGCAGAGAAGCCCAAGAATACTGGAATGGGTAGCCTATCCCTTCTCCAGGGGATCTTCCCGTCCCAGGAACTGAACCAGGGTCTCTTGCGTTGATGGCGGATTCTTTACCATCTGAGCTACCAGGGAAGCCCCCATCACATCAAATTACTTTTATTTTAATTTATCTTTCTACTTGTGTTTGTATTTATTGCAGCTTTGTTTTGGGTTTATGACTATTTAAGTCCTGAAGCATGAAGAGTTCATAGTTAGCTGCATTTGCACATAATTGTTAAAAAAAAAAAACTTAAGTTCATGAGAATTATATTTCTTCCCAAAGGTCCCTCAGAGCAGGGCTAAACTTGACCTGGCCCTTCAGGAGTCTCCAAAGGAAAGCTATAGCTTTGGAATCTCTGTTAAAGTCCAAACTCTCCCCTCCCCTGAAGATCCAGAGCAAGGAAGTTAGAGCCTGGGACCTCTGGACTTCTGAGAATTGAGGGGAGAACATGAAGGTGTGAGAGAGACCACCACAGACCTCCACTTTCTTTAAGTAGAAGGAAAGGTAAATCGTGAAAGATGATGCTGGGTAAACAAAAAACCCAAAAGAAACAAAGGTTCTGAGTTAAAAAGTTCCCCAGAGGAAAGAGCTCTCAGTTAATTAATGTAGTGGCTTTATAGTATCATCAAGGACCAGCTTTTTTCCAGCTGTCTGCTTTCCCATCTGCAGTGTCAGGACTCAGCATCGTAGACTTTGGTTGCCCACCTCAAATGTAGATACTGCATCCTCAGCAGTGTCCAGAGGGCTTCCCTGGTGGTCCAGTGGTTAAGAGTCCACATGCCAATGCAGGGGACACGGGTTCGATCCCTGGTCTGGGAAGATCCCACATGCTGAGGAACAACCAAGTCCTCGAGTCGCAACTACTGAGCCCGCTTCCTTAGAGCCTGTGCTCCACAAGAGATGCCACTGCAGTGAGAAACCCATGCACTTCAATGAAGCGTAGCTCCTGCTTGCTGCAGCTAGAGAAAGCTTGCTTGTAGCAACAAAGACCTAGCACAGCCAAAAAAATTTAACAATTAAAATTAAAAAAAAAAAATAACGTCAAGAGGCATAAAATCTTTTCTGGAAGTGCCCCTGCCAACTCCCCACAAAACACCCACCATGTCACACTAGGTCCAGAACCCTGCACCTAAATCCATTGTGGCAAGAGGAATGACGTGGCTGGCTTACAGCCATCATAGTAATGTAGCTCTTTTGGCTGTGAAGAGACCACCTTCTCTGAATATATGAAAGGACAGCACTGAACCAGTAAATAAATAAAATTTCTAAAAGGCTCACCAGCAAGAAATTAGGGTGGCCGTTTTGTGAGTGCCAAAATTGTCCTCTGCAAAACGTGTTCATGAGATTGGACAGGCTTTCTTGAAAGGACTTGCCCACCACACCTAGAGATGTGGATCTTATCCAGTAGGTTCTGGAAAGCATTTTTAAGAGTTGAGTCTGGACATGATCAGATTTGCATA